ATATATATATATATATATATATATATGCACGTATATATGTATATATGTGTATATATATGTGTGTGTGTGTATTTATATATATACACACATACCTGCAATTATTTTGCATATTTTGCTGATTATACTTTTACATTTGTCAAATACTTGAACATAAAACTCCACTACTGTGGCATCTTCAGCCAACCGACCATAGGAGTTGACTCAGCTGCCATGACAAGATGTCCTTTTTCCTTTCCCTCCTTTATAAGTATCAAAGTTGAACACTCTAAGAAGAAAACTATACAGTGAAAAATTATTTTCCTCTCAAAATAGCAAATATTTTTCCATGTTTATTTCAGTCTTTACAACTATCATTTCTAATGGTTCCCTAAAATATCATCATGTTTTAAATACCATTTATTAAATCATTCTCCTGTATACCACACATTTACAATTTATTATTATTTTTTTTACAAGTATGTTTTAAGCTATTCATTTTCATAAGGGAAAACAAAATTTGGTCCTTAAGTAAAAGATGACCTCCCTTTGTTAAAAAAGGAAGTTTCTTCATAGAAGATACTTTTTAGGACTTTGTGGGACCACAGACAGAGAATGCAAATCTAACTCCTGCTTGGCCCTGATAAATTCTTACTGAAATAAGACACATAAAACCAGGGGAAAGCTTGCGCTGGAAATTGAAATTAGGGAAGGATACACAATGTCTAAAGCTTTTTGGAATTCCTGACAGATATCACACACATGAAACTACCAAACTAGAAGGATCTGAGAAGAGCTGTGGACAGGAGCCCAAAGAGGAGTTTGGGGTTGGAGGAACATTTTTATTAAAGCAGTGGGACTCTCCTCTCATAAGATAAGGTATAGCATCTGGAGATCAACGTGGCAGAATCTGAGAATAATCGTACTGGAAAACCTGGGGCATAAAGAGTTAGTTGCACAAATAGCAAACCATTTTCCAGTGTAGCAAAGCAGATCCATTCTTCAGGAGAAAGCAAGACTATTGTAGTACAAGGCAGCAGGGCAGCCACATTAGAACTGAACCTGACGTAGCAACTTTGCCAAAAACAAATAAAATCCTACACAAAGAGAATTTTCCCCTAAAAATGTACTTGTGGCCAGGCCTCCCTCCTCATTCCCTTGAGGTTGCTGGATCACTTAACTGGCAATCAGGACCCTATGTCAAAATCTAAGAGGAAATGGAAAGCAAGGTCATCTAAGAAATGGCCACTCACCCTGTTTGGGGGCTGGGGGGAGCCACATATGAATGAGTATCTTATCATTCATGGGGGGAAAAATATTTAAATGTTTTTTAAGAATACCCCCCCCAAAAATAGACCATGAAATGATTCTAAAACAACCTAAGAACATGCATTTAAAGGTAAAGAAAGACTTTTGAAATTATGTATTGCAAAAAAAAAAAATTTAGGTAGTATTTCGCAGCTTCTTTTTTTTTTTTTTTAAATGGAGTCGCAGAGGGGCACCTGGGTGGCTCAGTCAGTTAAGCACCTGATTCTAGATTTCAGCTCAGGTCCCCTAGAGCTCCATGGATTCGGATTCACTCTCTCCCTCTCTCTTTCTCTGCCCCTCCCCCGCTGGCGCTCTAAATAAATAAACAACCAAACTTTAAAAATATAAAATAAAATGGAGTCACAGAAGCCAAAGAGAAAAGGTAAAATAAAAGACTAAAATACTAAGAAAGATTTCTGAGAGGCAAATAAAAAGGAAGCTCAGGGAGATAAGCATATTGAGGTAAACATGAGAAAAGGATGTGTTTTTGCTTTTTGTTTTTTTACACGTAATCTCTACACCCAATGCGGGCTCAAACCTACACCAAGAGATCAAGAATCACATGCTCCAGAATCGCATGCTCCACTGACAGAGCCAGCCAAGTGCCCCTAAACATGAAAAAAGTTATAAAAATTTATTAGAAGTACTGAGAGAAAAAAAGTAGCAAGAGAAACTTCAACTTTGAAGAAAACTGAAATGATGATTCAAAGGAGAAACTTAAGAAACTCTCCAAAAATGAAAAAGAAAAAAATTGAAATTAATAAAATTTTTAAAGGGGAGGCAGGTGGAGAGAGAGTAGCAGAGCTCTAACACATGGATAATTAGAGTTCCTGAAGATGGTACAAGAACATAACAAAATATTCAAATATAGAAGAAAGCTTTCTTCGGATGAACAAAGACTTGAATTTGCAACCTGAAAGAGCTCAAGGGTATCAGATAAAATTAATGGAAAAAAAGAGGCTCGGTACCTAAAAATATTCTAGTAAAAAGCAACATCTGTGGCTCCTGGCTAGCCGAGTCAGTAGAACATTGATAGGACTCTTAATCTCAGGGTTCTATGTTTGAGCCCCACATTGGGTGCAGAGATAACTTAAAAGTAAAATCTTTAAAAAAAAAAAAAAAAAAGCGGAGGGGTGCGGAGGAGATGCTACTCAGGAGCTTGGCCGGGGGAGGCTGGGCGGTGACCTCCGCTGCCAGGCATCTGGGGCCATGGCAACTCTCCAGCTGGGACTGGTGCTAAAGGCTTCCGGGAGGCAGCAGCACTCTTTACTGGCACCGTGCCTGGGTCCAAGCCCGGGAAGGCCACAGAGACTTTGAGAAGGACCACGTGGAGGTGCGCTCTCAGTCCCGTGCAGGGGGCACCAGGCAGCACAAGTCCTCCTTGCCTGGCGGGGGCCCCTTGTAACCAGTATCCCCCGCCCCTTGGGCTCAAGCCCCACACAAACTGCTGCATGAGTGGCTGCCCCAAGTGAGTGTGGGTGGAGTATGAGGCCACACTACCGCAGCACTACCAGGATGGCGGGGAGCAGACCCTGGTCGCCCTGGAGGAACACGAGGCTGAGGAGAACCTTAAGGCCTTCCTCAGGATGGAGATCCAGCTCCAAGAGCAAGGAGTGGAGGCTGAGCCAGTTTGCCCAACACCCACACCCAGACAGGCCCCAGCCTGGCAGCTCCTAACTCCTGGGGAAACAACCAGGGAGCTTGATTCACTGCTCTTCACAAGATTGGTGTCAGACAGGAGTAGGAAGAATTATTTATTGACTTCATCTGGGAATAATAAGTTCTCTGTGGTGCTTAAAAAAAAAAAAAGGGCACTATCTGTCTACTTTTTTTTTTTTTTTTTTTTTTTTTTTTTTTTTTTTTTTTAAAGTTTATCTTAAGAGAGTGCACACAAAAGAGCATGTGTGAGCCGAACAGACAAAATCCCAGGCAGGCTTCACTCTGTCAGCACAGAGCCCGATGCAGGGCTCAAATCCACAAACCCTGAGATCATGACCTGAGCCAAGATCAAGAGTTGGATGCTTAACAACTGAGTCACCCAGGTGCCCCTATCTATATTCTTCTAATGACAAAATATTTCAATCCAGGAACTCTACATGTAGCCAGTTACCAATCACATATGAAAAAGAAATCCATTATGCTATGGATGCCTTGCTAAAATAAATACCTTATCATTGGCCCTGAACTAAGGAAAGCAGCCCACTGAAATTCTTCACATATTTAAGTATCTGTGTCTACAACCTGACGCCATCATCCTTCCCCCTTTGATTATATCAAGGGTGATTCTCAGGCCCAAGAGGCAGTCAATCAGTAGGCTACATAGCAGCTCAACAAATGTTCTGAAGGAAAATCTCTGCCAAAAGTAAATTATTTATAGGGGCAGTGACTGACCAAATCCATCAGCAACTTACTAAGGGAAAGAAATGTAACTCCCAGAGACAAGTCTGAGAGTAAAGAGTAATGTCAAATTAGGGGGGAAAACAAATCAAGGAGAAGAACAAAACACTATGTCTCTGCTCCATACTGACAAATTCCTGAGGCTACAGGGGTAACAAGATAGCCTGTTTATTAGAATTGCATTCATTCCTGAACAACTTTTTAGTTCCCAAACTCTAAGTTCTCTCTACTCTGAGGGCCTGATTCCTGTTCTTCCTAGGAAACATAGTTGTGTGGCTTTGCTGGTTTTCATGAAGTTACGCTGCACATTTGACAGTTATCTTCATATCTTTACATGTATCCTCAAAGATGAAAGAAAAAAATAGTACATCACTAGTAGTTTTATTATAATCAGAATTTAAGGGGTGGGGGTGCGGGTGCGGGGAGGAAATGGTAAAAGTTGAGGAAAAAGCTAGGGACAACCATGAAGGGCCTTGTAAACCAGGCTAGGAATCTGGAGATAAGGCTTTGTCCCAAGGGCTTTCAAGCAGGTAATGCTTAATCAGATTTACATTTTAGAAAATTTATTCTGGCTACAGTGTAGAGAATAAACTAGAGGAAGGTGAGCTGAGCAGTAAGAAGGCTGTTGCAGCATTCCAGGTTAGAGAGGATGGCAGCCTGTACCAAAGCAGTGAGAACTAGAAGAGAGATGAAGCTAAGAAGGAAAAGGTGATGAAATTCTTGACAGGAAAGCCAAAGACTGGGAGAGCTGAGCAACTAGTACAACTCATGGATGGCATCCCCTTCTACAACTGTAGATACACTAAATGTTGGCCATCCTATACCCCCAAGGTAAAGTACAGCATTAAGAAAAGCAAGCAGTAATGATCTGAAGGGGAGTGAGGCAAATAAATAGCCTCTCCCATACCTTGCTTGCAGTAGTAAACACAGTAGTAACTTCTAATGGGAAGGAGGAGGGGGGCGGAGGGGAGACTGATGTTTGTCCTAACAAAATTTATAATGTTTACTGATTGGCTTTTTAAACTACATGCAGATGTAACTTTGATAAAAAGAAAAAAAAAAAGGCAATGTCTGGCAGGAAAGAAAAAGGCAGGAAAAAAAGATTATATAAAGAAAACATTTAGCTTGATAGGCCATTGTAATTGGTCCTAGAATCTGACTACAGAGGTTGGAACCCAAGCTATTTCCATTTATAAGCTATGTAATGTTGGGCAAGTTAATTAGTTAATCTGGGCCTCAAGTCTCATTTCCTTTAAAATGAAGATAACCGGTATGTAAAGATGGAGTTAATAAATGTAAAACACTTAGAACAAATTCTGGCATAGAGCAGGCAGACAATAAATGTCAACTATTATGATTATTAGTACTATTATCAAAAACAGCCAAGTAGATTATATTTTTAAAAATACAATAAATATGACTCCTGCCCTTAATAAGGACATTCACAATACATTTCGTCTCCACATGTTCAAAATATTCCTCATTTTTCAACACCAAACATGAATAATATCTCTCCTACTAAACTTTCCAATTTCTCCCCCCAAACACTGTCAGTCAGAAATATGGTCTCCCTGCTTCAAATTCCCAAAGCAGTTTATATGCACCTCTTGTTTTCTATCTCTTCTGCCTATGTGTGACTTATTTCAAAATCTTAACTCCTATAATGAGCAAAAGTTCTTTAAGGACAGGATTCTTTTTTTATTCATCATATTATTTCTCCAAAATTCCTTGAGTGTAATCCTGGTAAGGAGTTCCTGACACAATTCCTTTTTTGGAACCTAGAACACTCTTCCAAATAACATAAATAAGACTTTTTGCCTCTAAGACTTTCTTTAACCCAACTAACAATTCCTTAGCACAATTAGAAATCTATGGGCCTTACATGTAAAATTAAGTGAGGCAATCTAGTTATAATGAAGCAGTTTTGAGTTTAGGTGCCAATGCTACATCTGAAATATAAACATGTGATTGGCTTTTTACTTGCATATTAATTTTTTTAATGCTTATTTATTTTTGAGAGAGAGACAGAGTGCAAGCAGGGGAGAGGTAGAGAGAGAGGGAGACACAGAATCTGAAGTAGGCTCCAGGCTCTGAGCTGTCAGCTTAGAGCTGAACACAGGAATCGAACTCACGAGCTATTAGATCATG